AAGGGTTAGAGAATCTGTTTGAATAAATAATGGCAGAAAACTTCCCTAACATGGTGAAGGGAAAAGTCACACAAGTTTAGGAGGCACAGAGAGTCCCCAGCAAGAAGAATCCAAAGAGGCCCATGCCCAGACACATCACAGTTAAAATGTCAAAAATTCAAGACAGAATATTAAAGACAGCAAGAGAAAAGCAATCTGTTCCCTACAAAGGAGCTCCCATAAGGCTGTCAGCTGACTTCTCATCAGAAACTCTACAGCCCAGAAGGGAATGGCATGAATTATTCGAGGTAATGCAAAACAAGGATCTGAAACCAAGACTACTCTATCCAGCAAGGCTATCATTCAAAATAAATGGTGAAATAAAGAGCTTTCCAGACAAAAACAAAGGCTAAAGGGATTTATTACCACCAAACCAGCATTGCAAGAAATGTTAAAGGGACGGCTGTAATAAGAAGTTGAAGTAGAGAAAATGAGAAACATAGGCATAAAGAAATGGCAATAGATAAGTCCCTATCAATAACTTTAAATGTAAATGGATTAAATGTTCCAATGAAAATACATAGGGTGGCTGAGTGGATAAGTAATCATGACCCAAATATATGATGTCTACAAGAGATCCACCTCAGAACAAAAGACTCACACAGGATGGGAGTGAAGGGATGGAAAAAAAATTATCCATGCAAATAGAAATGGGGAATAAAAAGCTGAGGCAGCAGTACTCATATCAGACAAAGTAGATTTCAAAATGAAGACCATAACAAGAGACAAGAAAGGTCACCACATAACACTAAAGGGATCAATCCAACAAGAGGATATAACCCTGATATACATGTATGTACCCAATATAGGAGCACCTAAGTTTATTAAAAAAAACAACCAACTTCTGGAGGACTTTAAGGAAGACCCACAGCAATACAATCATAGTTGGGACTTTAACACCCCACTATTTTCACTGGATAGGTCTTCTAGACAAAAAATCCAAAGGAAACAGTGACCCTAAGTGACATACTACATCAGGTGGATTTAACTGACATTTACAGAACATTCCACCCCAAAGCTGCAGAATATACATTCTTCTCAAGTGCACATGGGACATTGTCAAAGATAGACCACATGATGTTAGGACACAAAACAAGTCTACAAGTTCAAGAAGATTGAAATTATATCAAGCATCCTCTCAGACCACAGTGGCATGAAATTAGAAATCAACTATAATAAAAACACTAAAAAACATTCAAACACATAGCATGTTATTAAGCAATGAATGGGTTACCAAAGAAAGAAGAAAAATAAAAAATGTTCTGGAAATAAATGAAAATGAACACACAACAACCCCAAATCTATGGGACACAATGAAAGCAGTCCTGAGAGAAGTTCATAGCACTACAGGCCTACCTCAAAAAATAAAAACTTCTAATAGAATCTCTAATCCTACAACTTAAAGAATTAGAAAGAGAACAAGAAAAGCCCAGGTAAGTAGAAGGAAATAATAAAGATCAGAGCAGAAATAAATGATGTTAAGACTAAAAAGAACAATGCAAAAGATCAATGAAACCAAGAGCTTGTTCTTTGAAAAGATAAACAAGATTGATGAACCTTTTGCCAGACTCATCAAGAAACAGAGAGGACCCAAAAGAACAAAATCAGAAACGAAAGAGGAGAAGTAACAACTGACCCAACAGAAGTACAAAGGATTTTAGAAAATACTATGAACAACTATACACCACCAGGACATCCTGGGTGAAATGGACAAATAACTAGAAAAATGCAACCTTCCAAAACTCAATCAGGAAGTCAGAAAACCTGAATAGGCCGATAATTGCTGATGAAGTTGAAGCAGTAATCAAAGGGCTCCCAGCACACACAAGCCCTGGCCCGGACAGCTTCACAGGGGAGTTTTACCACACATTCAAAGAAGAACTAACACCTGTCTTCTTCAAACTATTCCAAAAAAGCCAAGAGAAATGAACACTTCCAAGCTCTTTTTACGAGGCCAGCATTAGCCTAATTGTAAAACCAGATAAAGACACTACAAAGAAAATTACAGGCCAATATCCCTAATGATCATAGATGCTAAAATCCTCAACAAAATATTAAGTCAGATCCAGCAGTATATTAAAAAGATCATACACCATGACCAAGTGGGATTTATTCCAGGGATGCAAGGCTGGTACAGTATTCACAAGTCAATAAATATGATACATCACATAAATTAAAAGACAAAAATTATCATATCTATAGATACAGAAAAATCCACCCAGTTTTGATAAAAACTCTCAGCACAGTGGGAATAGAGGGATCATACCTCAACATAATAAAGGCCATATATGACAAACCTACAGCCAACATCATACTCAATGGGCAAAAACTAAAAGCATTTCCCCTAAGAACTGGAATAAGACAGGGGTGTCCACTTTCACTACTCTTATTCAAAAATAGTACTGGAAGTCTTAGCCACAGTGATCAGGCAAGAAGAAAACATGAAAGGTATCCAAATTGGAAAGGAGGAAGTAAAACTGTCATTATTTGCAGATGACATGATATTGTACATAGAAAATCCTAAAGACTCCACCAAAAAACTGCTAGATTTAATAAATGAATTCAGCAATGTAGCAGGATACAAAATTAACACCCAGAAATCGATGGCATTTTTATACACCAATAATGTACTCAGAGAAACTGAAAAAACAATCCCATTTACCATTGCAACAAAAAAATTAAGATACTTAGGAATAAACTTAACCAAGGAGGTAAAAGACCTATACTCAGAAAACTACAAGACATTGCAAAAAGAGATAGAGGAAGATATAACAAGTGGAAGAATATACCCTGTTAATGGATTGGAAGAACCAACATCATTAAAATGGCCATACTACCCAAAGCAATCTAAATTCAATGCAATCACTATTAAAATAGCAACAGTGTATTTCACAGATCTAGAATGAACACTTCGAAAATTTACATGGAACCTAAAAAGACCCCAAATAGCCATGGCAATCTTGAGAAAGAACAACAAAATTGGTGGGATCACAATACAAGTTGGTGAGATCACAGATACCAAGTTATACTACAAAGGCACTGTAATCAAAACAGCCTGGTACTGGTGCAAGAACAGACATATAGATCAGTAGAACAAAACATAGAACCCAGAAATCGACCCTCAAGCCATTACACTCAATATTTGAATAAGGTGGTAAGAACATAGAATGGAGTAAAGACAGTTTCTTCAATAAATGGTGTTAGGAAAATTGGATCAGTACATGCAAAAAAATGAAACTATACCACCAACTTACACCATACACAAAAATAAACTCAAAATGGATAAAAGACAAATGTAAGACATGAAACCATAAAAATCCTAGAAGAAAAATCCTAGGGAGCAAAATCTCAGACATCTCTTATAGCAATATGTTTGCCGATACATCTCCTAAGGCAAGAGAAACAAAGGAGAGAATAAACAAATGGGACTGCATCAAAATAAAAAGCTGCTGCACAGCAAAAGAAACCAACAAAATAAAAAGGGGCCCCTCTGTATGGGAGAACATATTTACCAATGACACATCTGATAAAGGGTTAATATCCAAAATATATAAGGAACTCATACAACTTAACAAAAGGAAGACAATTCAATTTAAAAATGGGCAAAGGACCTAAATAGACACTTCTCCAAAGAGGACATACAGATGACCAAGAGACATGAGAAAATATTAAAAGGCACTAATCATCAGAAAGATACAAGTTAAAACCACAAAGAGGTATCACTTCACACCTGTCAGAATGGCTGCCATCAACAAATCAATAAATAAGCGCTGGTGAGGATGTGGAGAAAAAGGAACCCTAGTACACTGCTGGTTAGAATGCAGACTGGTGTAGCCATTTAGGAAAATAGTATGGAGTTTCCTCAAAAAATTAAAAATTGACTTGTCATTTGACCCAGTGATTCCACTTCTAGGAATATATCCTAAGAAACCCGAAACACTGATCAAAAAGAACTTATGCACCCCTCTGTTCATAGCAGCACAAGTTACAATAGCTAAGATCTGGGAACAGCCCAAGTGCCCATCAGTAGATGAGTGGATAAAAAAGCTGTGGGACATTTACACCATGGAATACTATGCAGCTGTAGAAAGGAAGGATCTCTCAACCTTTGGGACATCATGGATGGAACTGGAGAGTATTCTGCTAAGCAAAGTAAGCCAGTCAGAGAAAGACGAATATCACATGATCTTGCTCGTATGGGGAATATAATAAAATAAACTGATGAACAAAAAATATCCAGAGACATAGAAGCATGGAACAGACTGAGGGATCTCAGGGAAGGCGGGGGTGGGGAGAGATTAATCAAGGAACTTATAGGTTTATATGCATAACCTATGGCCACAGACATTGGTATGGGGAAGGCCTGGGGGTGGGGTGGATGCCAGGTGGAGGGGGATCAATGGGGGAAGAGAGGGGATTTCTGTAATACTTTCAACAACAAAATTAAAAAAATTTTTAAATGAGATTAACCAAAGAATTTATATGCAGATATGCATAACCCATGGACACAAGTAGTGTGGTGAAGGCCTGGGGCGGGGAGTGGGTGCTCAGTAGAAGGGGTCAATGGGGAAAAAAAATGGGTCATCTGTAATACTTTCAATAATAAAGATAAATTTTTAAAATTATTTTTGGGCATTTTTTTTGTTGTCTAGCCGGTAATAATGAGCCTTTTCTGAGTTTGTGTCATATAGTAGTGTTCAGCAATCTAAAATTCTTGAGGAACTTTCAGAATCTAAGATTGTTTAGAATAAACAGTCTATTAGTTGCCGATTTATATTAACCACACAGTATTCTATACTACAAAAATTCATGCAAGGTTTTATAAAGAAAACAGTTCAATGTGGTAAATAGTATATCTGAAGATTTTTGCTTGTAGTAGATAAAATCTTACTCTATGTGCTAAAGATTTGCATCAAGGTTATCAGTAGTTCTCCAGTCCTAACAGAGTAATTTCTTTTTAGAATCTTTAGGGCTCCGTAGTAAAGTTCTGAGGAAAATCGAAGAGCTCAAGACAAAGCAGAAAACCCTTTCTTCTGAAATTCCTGATGAATTCATATGTCCAATCACTAGGGAGCTTATGCAAGATCCTGTCATCGCATCAGGTATGTGTGATGTTCTTCTAAGGTTTCAGGGCATACTGTGTGTGTTCTAAGCAAATAAATAATGTAGACACTCACAGAAGTTTGTTTAAATGTGGAAAAATTTCAAAATTCCTCTTTTATTTCTTGTGAGTAGTTTTTTAAGTTTTTATTTTTTATTGTTGACAGTATTACAGATGCCCCCCGATTTCCCCCCGTGGCCCTCTTCCTCCCAGCCTTTGTACTACCACAGGCCTTTACCATACTATTGTCTGTGTACATTGGCTGTGCATATATATGTGTATAAGTTCTTTGGTTAATCTCTTCCCATCTTCCCCCCCTCCATGTATCCATGCCTCTGGACCTGTTTTGTTTGTCAGTTTATTATGTTCATTAGATTCCACATATAAGTGAGATCATGTGATATTTGTCTTTCTCTGACTGGCTTATTTGACTCAGCATAATATTCTCCAGGTCCACTTACGCTGTTGCAAAGGGTAAGAAATCCTTCTCTTTTACAGCTGCATAGTATTCCATTGTGTAAATGTACCAGTGTTTTTATCCACTCATCTACTGATGGGCACTTGGGCTGTTTCCAGATCTTAGTTATTGTGAATAATGTTGCTATGAACATAGGGGTGCATATATTCTTTCTGATTGATATTTCAGGATTCCTAGGATATATTCCCAGAAATGGGATCTCTGGGCGAAATGGCAGGTCAATTTTTAATTTTTTGAAGAATCTCCATACCATTTTCCATAGTGGCTGCACCAGTCTGCATTCCCTCCTGCAGTGTGCTAAGGTTCCCCGTTCTCCACACCCTCACCAGTGCTTGCTTGATTTGTTGATGGTAGCCTTTCTGGCAGGTGTGAGGCGATACCTCATTGTAGTTTTAATTTGCATCTCTTTGATGACTAGTGACGCTGAGCATTTTTTCATGTCGGCCATAAACTCATTAGATTTGAGATGAACTATTGTACATTTTATTCCTTCATGCATAAAATTGGATGGAGTACACTTGGATAAGATGTGAGATAAATGGACTGAGTTTTATAAGCATTAGATTCATGAAATGCATAGTTACTAGAATGTAAAGTAAAAAATATTGGGTTTTTAGGATTGACTATCCAGAGCACTTATGTTTAAGAATGTGAAGATGATAAAGTTGCATGATTCCATATTAATTTCTAATCTTTGTCAATAAACACACACATACTTGACATAGTTGTAATCAGTGAATCCATATTACACTGTTTTTAAATTTTTGTGTAAAACATTATATACATATTGCTAAATATTAACTTAGTCTACATAATTTCAGTTTTAATAACTTTATTCCATTGTGGCTCTATGCTACATTTTGTTTGACTCTTCTACTATTTGGTCTGTATGAGTTTGCTAATCTTTATATTGTAAATAGTGCTGCACGTCTTGGTACTCTCCTTTCTTTCTGCTGTACCATTACTTAGGGTTATTTTCATGACATGTGTGCCCATGTCAGAATTAACCAATGAAAGAATACTTTATGAACATGAAAAAAAACAGTCTTGATAGTTTTTGTTAAATCTGTTATTAGATTGTTTCTATAAAAAAAATTTTCAATGCTTCTAGCAATATATTTAAGTGTATCTGTTTTTCCAGTTTTGTGATCACTCAATTTTATAACTCTATTTTGGCTAGTTTAATGGTTGTTTGGAATTGTATTCCTTATATTGCTAGGGAGGCAGTAAATTTTTCTTTTCCTAGTATCTTTACCTCATCAAAGGACATCAAAGGACACTTAAATTGTTTCTATGACTTGGCTTTTGAATGCTGCAGTGAACATAGGGGTACGTATATCTTTTATGCATAAGTGTTTTCAATTTTGGGGGATCGATACCTAGAAGAGGGATTGCTGGCTCATATGGTAGTTGTACTCTTAATTTTTTCAGGAGCCTCCATTCTGTTTTCCATGGAGGCTGCACCAACTTACATTCCCTCCATTAGTGAACAAGGGTTCTTTTTTCTCCACATCCTCTCCAACACTTGTTATTTGTATTATTGATAATAGCCATTCTAACAGGAGTTAGATGGTATATCATTGTGGTTTAGTTTGCTAGTGAGGTTGAGCATCTTTTCATACATCTCTTGGCCATCTGTATGTCTTCTTCGGAAAAGTGCCTGTTTCGGTTCTCTGCCCATTTTTTAATTGGATTATTTGGTTTTTTGTTGTTGAGTTGTATGAGTTCTTTCTATATTTTGGAAGTATGGTTTGCAAATATATTTAGAGCACCTGAGAAAAGAAGAGGGGGAAAGGCTCATGCATGCTCAAGAGAGTGACCATGCACTGGGTCATTTGTCTTAATGGTTTTTATCTGTTTTCCAAAGGCAGGGATTTTAGGGGAGGTCTCAGGGGAGGATCTCAAGAGAATATTCATCAGCTTTCCAGGGGTGTCCTTTCAGAGTTGTGGTCTCTACTGATTGGTTGGCCCTAGGGTACGGGGTCATTCATTAGTCATTGCATCTGGTCCTGATTTCAGCTATGGTTTCACTTTGTCTTGGCCTGGAACTGAAGCACAACTGAGGCCTGGATGTTATCTCTAGTTTGACCAAAACTCTATCCCCGGTCAACAGATCCAAGACTTTGTTCCTAAGATTATTTGAGGCTGATCAGGACCTCAGTGGCCTGGGGGCTTAATGCTTAAGGGAGTGGTTGTGTTAGGGCTTGTATTGGAATCATATATGGCTATTCTCTGGCCCCCTTGTTCCTCCTCTAAAGGTGTCTAAATTGCGTGAAGAGCAACATGAAATGTCACAGGGTCTAAACTGCATGAGTAGTGACATGCTAGGGGTGGAAAGGTCACCCTGGGGGTAAAGTCCTAGCCTATAATACTTGTTTTCCCAGTTTTTCCCACTGTTAGGCACCCTGGACTTTCCTCCTGATGACATTGCGTACCTGGCCTCTTGTTCCTGCTCTGCTCATGCCTGTCTAACTGCCTATTCTATCAGAATCATGCCATCTGTAAATAGTGCCAGTTTCACTTTTTTATTCCCAATATAGATGCCCTTTATGTCTTTCTCTTACCTAATTGCTCAGACTAGGACTTTCAGTACTATATTGAATAACATTGGTGGGAGTGGCCATCCTTGTCTTGTTCCTAATCTTAGAGGAAAAGCTTTCAGTTTTTCACCATTGAGTGATAATTGCTGAGGGTTTATCATATATGGCTTTTATTAGGTTGAGGCACTTTTCTTCTGTGCCCATTTTATTGAGTGCCTTAAGCATACATGGGTGTTATATCTTGTCAAATGTTTTTTCTGCATCTATTGATACATGATTTTTATCTTTTATGTTAGTGTGGTTTATGACATTAATCGATTTGCATATATTGAACCATTCTTGCATCTCTGGAACAAACCCCAGTTGATTGTATTGTCTTTTTTTTAATCCTCACCTGAGAATATGCTTATTGATTTTAGGGAGACATTAATGAGAGATAAACATGGATAGGTTGCCCCCCCCCCGGCATGCCCCGACTGGGGATTGAACCTGCAGCCCGGGTGTGTGCCCTGACTGGGGATCAAACTCACAACCTTTTGGTGTGTTGAGTTGATGCTCCAACCAACTGAGCCACCCGGCCAGGGCATTTGTATTATCTTTTTAATGTATTGTCGCATTCAGTTTGCTAAGTCTTTTTGTTTAAGGATTTTTGCATCTATGTTTATCAGAGGTATCTGTAATTTGTGTGTGTGTGTGCGTATGTTGACCTTGCCTGATTCTGGTATCAGGGTAATGTTGGCCTCATAAATTGAGTTAAGAAATATTCCCTCTTAAATTTTTTGGAAGAGTTTGAGAAGGATACATATTAAGTCTTCAAATGTTCAGTAGAATTCATCAGTGAAGCCAACTGGTCCTGAACTTTTGTTTTTGATTGCTGTTTCAATTTCCTAACTGTTGATCAGTCTTTTAGGTTTTCTAATTCTTCACGGTTCAGTCTAGGAAGGTTATATATTTCTAAAAGTTTGTTTATTCCAGATTATCAAATTTAGTGGCATATGACCTTTCATAGTATTATTGCATAATCCTTTTTATTTCTGTGGTGTCCATTGTAACTCCTTTTTCATTTCTGATTTTGAGTCTTTTCTCTTTTTTCCTTGGTGAGTCTAGTCAGAGGTTTGTCAAATTTGGTTTTTCAAAGAACCAGCTCTTTGTTTCATTAATTTTTTTCTATTGTCTTTTCGTTCTCATTTTGTTTAATTCTGCTCTAATTTTTATTATTTCCTTGTTTCTACCAACTTTGGGATTTGTTCTTTTCTAGTTTTTAAAGGTGAAATGTTAGGTTTTTGAGATTCTTCTTGTTTCTTGAGATAGGCCTATAATTCAATAAACTTCCCTCTTAGTACCATTTTTGCTGCATCCCCCAAATTTTGATATGTTGTATTGCCATATTAGTTTCTGTATTTTTTTTATCTTATTTTTTCTTTGATACAATAGTTGTTCAGTAGCATGCTGTTTAATCTGCATATATTTGTGGTTTTTCTAGCTTTCTTATAGTTAATTTCCAATTTCATAATGTTGTAGTTAGAAAATACGCTTGTATATTACAGTCTTCTTAAATTTATTGAGACTAGTTTTGTGCCTCAACACATGGTCTGTCCTTGAGAATGTTCCATATGAATGTAAGAAAAAATGTATATTCTGTCATTTTGGGATGTGAAGCTCTGTAAATATCAATTATGTTTATTTGGTCTAATGTGTCATTTTAGGCTATTTCCTTGTTAACTTTCTGTTTGGTTGATCTCATTACTGTCAGTGGGATATTTATATCTGCTACTATCATTTTATTTTTGTCAGTTTCTCCCTTTAGCTCTGTTAGTAATTGTTTTATATATTTTGATGTTCCCAGGTTAGGTGCATATATTGATAAATGTTATGTCTTTTTAATTAATTGTCCCCTTTATCATTATAAAATGTCCATCTTTGTCACTTTTTACCTCTTTTATCTTGAAATCTATTTTGTCTGATAAAAGTAGGGCTATACCC